ATTTTCAGATGTTAAAATAACATTAGTAACAAACAGTCTAAAATAAACAACAATAAGGAATTATTATGAAGATGTATTTATCTATCCTCAACTCTATCACAAACAAATGTCATAAAACCTAAATTAAATTGGTAGTTTAGAGACAAATGTACATTACATTGAGGACACATTTATCTATCCAATAATTATCATACACGCACTCTTATCCGTATAGTGGTGTCGTTAGGGCTGGTGCAGTGGATTCTGGACAGATTCCCAGTCCATCGCAGATTAAGAAAAAATCTATCCATCAAATTTCTGACCCGCTTAATCCCTCATGGGGTCGCGGGGGTTGCTCGTGCCTATCTCCAGCGTTGATTAAGAAAAGCAATATAACCAAATAGTTGCTGGTGCTAAAGTTCAAATAATAATATAATATGAGTAGACCCCGCATTGGCTGTCGCGGCGCAGGAATTATGGCCGCCATATTGGGGCAGTCGACCTGCTACTCAAACCTGCTGATTCAAGCTGAACACACTAATGATGCCTCAGCACTGTGCGGCGTATTTTTGTTTAAATTTACGGACTATTGACGTCAGGGCTCGAGGGATAACTTTTCACAATTAAGATGAAAATATATCTTTACATATATCTTTATATATACCTTCTTATATGTCTATGTGCTTCCCTGCCCTGTTACGTCAGCATTTCCAATATGGCTGTCCTTGATGTGGACGGGGCTTGACATCAAGCCCCACTTTCCCGCAGGCTGCAGCGGGATGCTTCTCGCATGGCAGGTCGGAGGTGTCCGCTGCGGCCTACAGCAGCTGGAGACAGGTGCCTTTTCTCCGTGGTGGAGATGAATGAGCCACAGATCAAAACCCAGCCCATTTATAGGCGGTCCAACAGCCACTAATTAACCGAGAAAAAAAAAAAAGTAACTACAAATCATACGAAACAAAAATTCATAAAATTAAAAGTCAATATTAAACTATCTAGAAAAAAGAATTAAAAATAATGATGTGCCCAAAGCACATAACTGGGGCGACTTTCCAGTCCTGCGAGAATTTTTCAATCAGGCCAACTTTCAGCCTGATCGTGCATCGTGTAGTGTACAGGGGGTAACGAGGGGCGATCAGCCTCTCACGACCACCTCCTGATCAGGACTTGTAAGGTCGGGAGAAAATCAAACATGTTTGAAATTCAGTCGGCCGTCGTAAGCAAATCGCTTAGTGCACAAACAAGTATTCTTCTTCCTCTCAGATGTAAACATAGAAGCATGGCGGGGGTACGAGTGAAATGGAGTTCTTTCTGTAAAATTGACAGACCATAGCAGCCACGTTTGCTCAGCCATGACTTTGTCCAAAATTGCACTAATAGCCAAGGCAGCGCATTTCACTCTAGTGAGCTTTGTATTCCTCTTCTATTCGTTTGGCTTCCGGATAGAAGAATCCGAGTAGCGCCATCTCACTGCAGAGCTGAGTCCGACGTCCAAGTTTTTAGTCGTACAATGTGAGCAGGTAGATCCCATGAGAGCGTCGTGCTGAACATACAGTGTGAGCTGTGAACTCACACTGTACGACGAAACCCCGCGGTTCTGACAGCAAAACAGCTTTTGTGGTTAATCACATTTTTATTGAGGAATTAAGTTTTACATTTTTCAACATGCATTTAGGCTTTTTCTGGTTAAATTTCACCCTTATAATAAAAAGGGAATAAAACTTTCTTTAAAGTTGTAGGGAAAAGGCTGTTCCAACCGTTAAATTTCCGAATTCTCCCTAGTGTTGCACAACTTTCACTAGTGAATAAAGTGGATGTGATTGGTTGATTATCAAGGGCGGAAACGCAAGCAAGTTTGATTATAGCCGATTTGTCGGAAGCATGTTGCTAACCAGTTAGCAACTTAGTGCTAGTAGGTTCCCAATGGGAAATTCCATTGGGACCAAGTAGCACTAAATTGGCGACTTAGAAACGACGCTGTCAAGGAACGCTATGGACAGAGGAAACATGCAAGAGGAGGAGAGTTTAGTGTCGGAGGGCGTGGATGAGTCTCCTCCGTCATCCATTTTTTGTTTAGAGGAGGAAAGCGGGGATGAAGATGTTGTGGAAGAGGACGCCAGGGCGGCAGAAGCTTGGTTTGGTGTAGAAGGCTTCCAGCCGTACATGTTTGAGCCCTTGCCTCGCAACGCTGCCAGTTCCATTAGCTCTGCACCTGCAGCCGACACAGACGT